TATATATATATATATATATATATATATATATATATATATAATAAAAAATCTAAATCAATATATTGTAATACTGAATGTGAAAAAAATATTAGAGTCAAATGAAACTTGAACCTATTTTAAAGCATTTTGAGGTCAATTCTTAGTAGTATGAGTCTCTCTCTTTGACCCCAATTCATCAGCCCATCTCAGATCAGCAAAGCAGTTAAGCTCATGTGTAACTAGACGTCAGTGGGAATTAAGCCAAGACTGGACATCTTTCTAAAAGACACACTCTAGCTCAAACAGAATTTCCGGGCTTATTGCAGGAATCCCTGGGTGAAATTATCTGGCCGTGCTGTGAAGGAGGTCAAATGGCCTTAAAAGCTACAGTGTGAGCACATGCTTAAAGTAAGCATGGGCTTAAGTGCATTGCCAAATAGGGAAGAACTCAAGCATGAGCTGAAATGCTTTGCTGAACCAAGGGCCTTTGTCACCAGATGGACTTCTACACTCAGAGCACATCACACTTTGCTTTAGATTACAATCCCCAAGCATATGCAACTCGTTGATTCTTACAGCACTTGCTGGACATGCACAATCTGTTTCTTACAAAGCACTGGCTGTCAACACAAGACACACACAATGTAGTCGGGAGCTCATTCCCGTAGCAGCAATGAACATGTGGGAGCGGCATGCACCACTTGCAATTATATGTTCCACCAACGAAACAGCCTGATCTGGCATCTCAACTCTCCGATTCAGGCCCTACGATCTGAGCTAGAGAAGGGAAAATCCAGCAGAGGGTTAGTGTTTCCATGAGCTTCATGGTTCCAGGTTTGATTTGGGCTCTTTCAAACATCTCCCCCTCCCCCATTTAAGTGGTGTTTTTCATGGGAAATGTAGTCGATGGTACGGAGGTGGGGTAAAAAGTTCCCTAAGAAACTTGCAGCCTGTGCAATGCAAACCATACCCTGACTTCAAAGCACCTTTGTCACCTGCAATTCATCAGGTCAGGCTAGAACTGGATGATTACAATGGTCCCTTCTGGCCATTAAATCTATGAATAAAGATTCTCTTTTTCCAGCAGTTCTTATCATGGCTTCTAGAACAACAAGGGGAGGGAAAACTCTGCAGGCTAGAACCCAAATGAAACCTTCAACCTCAAAGCTTTGAATTCAGATCTCAGCGCAGAAGTCGTGATTTTCCAGTGGATTCTAACCATGGCCAGCGGAGTTCTCCCATCTCTGATTTTAACAGCAATTTTCATGTGGAGATTCATGCTCCACGCTAAGGACATATTTGGGGGGCAATTCCAAACCTTCCTAACGTTGCAGAGCCAGGGGGAATAGGATTCCCATTTAAAATGTCAATTCAAAGAATTCTAGGGCGGGTTTCAAAGATCAATACCAGATCGTGAGCCTCAGCAAAGCTGGATTGTGAAGAGAATTGTGCCCCGTTCAGAGCTGTGGTAACCAACCGTCCCAACAGGCTGGGTGTAGAGAACACTCTTTGGACGAGGCAGGCAGAGTGAAAGCAGCAGCAAGGGGAGCGGTCTGCAGAGGGGACCCCGACGAACGGCCACCCAGCCAATGCAGAGAGCGGCTGAAGTTGTGCTGGCCGGCCATGAGGGGGAGCAGTCACACATAGCGAAGGCGGGGGGGGGGGGGAGGGGGAAAGAGGTGGTTGCAGGGGGAGGAGGAGAAAGAGATGAGAGGAGGCCTTGCAGAGCCTGTTGGGGAGACCCAGCCCTTTGAGAGGAGCCAGGCAATGACATTGCTGATGAGCTGTTCCTGACAGATCACTTTCGAAGCACTAAATGGTTATGGATTTAGGGTGAAATCTGAGAACCTCTGGGCACTCATTGGACCTCGGAGTAGGCAGCTTAGCTGTGATGGACAGAGAGAAAGCTAAGGACATGGGATGGATGCAGAGAGAGGTCAGTAGATTGACATAAGGGATGAGACCGTCCTTAGGAGTATTGTTATGAGGGAACATTCCACCCAGAAATAACCTTCTTGCCAACTAATCAGGTACTAGCTTGCTGACTGGCCTATGCCGATTCACTAGTGACCCCAGGTCTCAGGTGAGCTCTCTAGTGAGACTGGGGTCTTGGGAACACTGGTGAATCCTGGCTACTGATCAGCTGGCGAAGGGTTAATGATTTGTGCTAAAGGGATATGCGGCATGCGGGGTAGGGTTGAGAAAGGGTTAATCAGGCTCATTTCAAATGGGACCAGCCCCTCCTGTTCCCTGACTTCTCAGCCACTAGCTGGGGCACATGTTGGACTTTTTACTTGTGCTCTCGGCTAGAGTCATTTACCGAAACCGACGGGAACGTGCTTCTAGCTACGTTGTGCCAGCTCATAAATACCACGTGGCGTTCGTCAGGTCTAGTGGCCTCATGCGTCACGAAATCCCTGGGTGCATAAGGCAAGAGCATCTCCCGCCAGCCTCCCGTGCAGAACCTGGGAGCTGACTGCAAAGCTCTGTGGGGCCCAATCCTGGATGCTGGGCTCAGGCGAAACAACGGGTTAGAGCTGGGGAAGGGGTTGGGGGGGATCTGAACTGTGACAGATGGGGGATGAGCGTCTTTCACAGGCCAGCGTGAGCTGGTGCTTTGGGGCACACCACGCCCTGCTGGATGTACCGGAGGAGCTCTTTGCGGTTGTCCAGGATGGTGTCGAAGCTCTCCTGCAGCCGGTTCTGCTGGTCCACCACTTTCTGCTGGAGGCCGCGGATCCAGCGCAGCAGGGCCAGGCGCCGATACATGACCAGGTGGATGTGGTGTTTCTCCTTCTCCCGCTCCTTGAATCTCATCTTGTCCTGGAGGTTCTGGAAGGCCTCGGCCAGCACCGGGAAGACAGTGTCTGAGTCGGAGGAGTTTTCGGGATCAGCGTCGGGCCCCTGAGGCGCTGGCTGGTTCCTCAGGTCTTTGGTGGCAGCAGCGGGTGCCTCCCAGGCATTGCCGGTACTACTGTCGGGGCTGTCGATGCTGAGGGAGCTGCTGGCATAGCCATTGTCCTCTAAGGGGGAACCAGCCAATTTGCCACACTCTTTGGCCATGTCCTCGGTAGCCGCTTTCTCCTTCTCAGCGCCGCTGAGCTCGGCTCCCTTCGGGGGGCTGCGCACATCCTCCTCAGAGAGGCCCAGCTCGTCTGACGTCAGCCCTCGGGCAGCGTCCCTAAGCCTGCCCTGAGCTGTCTGTCTCTGCACTAATAACATCAGATTATCGGCTGGATTTGTCGTGTTTTCTATCTGTCCGGAGCCCCCCTCCATCCGGGTCCCAACCACCGCCTGGCTCCAGTTCTCGTTGCTGTCATACCCTTCTGCCACAAAGTTGAAATTCTTGTCCTGCCTGAGCTCCCGTTCAGCAAGGAAGGCCGTGCCCAGCGTGGGGTCCCGCTTGCCCTCATGGAACGGAGCGTTCAGGGGGATGTCTTGCTGGCACACTGCAAACATCCTTCCACCCTCCCGGCTGGGAAGAGAGAGAGAAAGAACTGATGTGAAGGAAGGATCTTGGTCTGAGTTCCCAGGGCCAGCCTGGCCTCCCAGCTCTACCGTTCCCCAGCTTCTAACTCTCCTGAGCTTAAGGGGCCTGATTCTGCTGTCATGTGCTCTGCTTTGTCACTGCAGTAACCCCATTGATTTCAGGACAGTTATTCCGGATTCATACCAGCATGAGTAAGAGGAGAAGCAGGCCCAAGAGACTAATATCAGCCCAAACCAGGGAGGAAAGAGAGGAGCGTCTGGTCTGGTCTTGAATGGGATGGTACCCTAAGATGGACCCGGGTTGATATGGCCTAAGATGTAATGTTTAGCTTCTAGCCTGAAGTTTGAGGGCTTGTGGGATTTTGGTTGGGTCCATGGTAGTGTTAGGGGACAAATGTAAACTTCAGATCTGTGTCCTAAACTTTGTAGAAGCTCAGATCCCAGGTTTTAGGTCTGGCCCATTTCTGGATTGGGAATGGTATGGTAAGCCCTAGCAATGTAGAGGGTATTGGAGTACGGTAACTTAGGACACAGTTCTTCCCATGACATGGATGAGAACAGGATCAGGCCCCTAGTTTGGCCTGGCAAGGTCTGGTAAAGTGAGATATGACAGTGGTGTAATGCCTTGTCTCCGTGCATCAGCATTTGGCTCCAGTCTATGGTGCACTCACATCCTGGCCTGGCAAATATTAAAATAAAAGATCTCAAAAGTGTTTAAAACCTACCTGGGCTATTTCTTACGGTGGTTTCATGGGATGGAGTGGAGCTGGCCATTTCTGACTTCCCCTGGTGGCAAGGTGAGCGCCTGCTCCCCTGTCTCAGTGGATGAGGGGAAGTCTGGTTTATATAGGGAGGTCGGAAGGGAGCCAGGCAGAACAGAAACCTTAATTTCTTGTCGGGACCCCTCAGTGGTCTGGTCACCTTGGGCCCAATCCTCAGCTGGTGTATGTTAGCACAGCCCCATTGGCTGTGGCACTTGACACCCGCTGAGGATCCAGCCCCCCTGGTAGTGGAGAGGGGACACTGGTTGGCTGAAACAAGAACCGATGCAAAACTTTGCCCAAGCTCCTTTCAGATCCTGCATCCCGAGTTGTTTGAAAATGATTGTGGCATAAGAGGTTTTTTCCCCTTTTCCTTTTGCGTTTTTGTGGCCTTCCCCTCGAGAGCAGTTCCTCTCAAGCAGTTTCTGGGCTACTTTAGTAAACCCAGGAAATCCTCAATAGCTTATGTCATCCAATCCCAGGGTCAGATTTTCAGCTGGTATCAATCCGAGTAACTCCATTGAAGTCAGTGAGAACACCACCCACGCTTTCCTTAGCTTCCTGTACTAAACTGGAATGTAGAATTACTATGGGCTGTTGTCCAGCTGCCATGTTCCACCCCAGAGGTGGCTGCTTGTAAGTAATAAATGAAGTGAATTCTGTGCATGTAACAGTTTGTGAGGCACTTTGGAAGGATTTGATGCTATAGACATCTTGAGATGTGATATTAGGTGTTGATATTATTAAATGAGTCAGTGGTTTAACCCTGTTTGCCCTAACGAGGGGCTTTATTGCATCATTCCCCAGCTGACAGTCACAGGGGGAAAACCACAGAGTGATGATGGATTCTGGTTCCTTCTCTGCTAAATGAAAGTGCTGAAAGAACAGCGACACTTTGAATGACTTGTGTGATTCCGCCAAGCAAAGGGACGCGTCTGATCTGATATGTAGCAACATTCTGTCTGGATTAATCTCCCTAAATAGGCATCTTCTAAGACTATACTCTCCCTGCACCAATCGGAAACAGGAGATAAATCTTTTAAAGAACTGTCTGATGCAGGAGAAAAGTGCTGGAAACATAAAACAGTTTACAAATACATCCCTGCTACCATCCGTCAGTGAGAACTACAGAAGATTCTCCATAAGTATGGGATTAAAATCACTTCCCTTTAAAGACTTTCTTTTTAAATTCTTCAAAATGTGTTCAGCTTCCCAGATGCAATTCCGTAGGACCCCATTAGATTATTTTAATAAGATCTCTTCTGAGTTCTATTGGTCTCTGTTTGATTTTAAATAATGGGCCAATAGCCCTCCCAAAACCAGTAGCCCCAACAGACCTGTTCCCTCATTACGAAACCAAGTTGCAAACTGGAACTAGTAAAAAAAAAATTAATTAAAACTTTGACTAGGGCTCTGAGCAGAGATGGATGCAATCTTCCAGCTTCATCACAATGCGAAAGAAATTCACCTGCAGGAAAATCCAGGAGAACACGATCACAGTTTTAAAGAAAGACAGAGTGTAGCAGCCCTTTCTTTTCATTAGAAAATTGGTGAATGAGCAAAGGAAGGACTACTCCTGGGTAGGAAGTGATTGGGCAGGCTTTGCCCACTCAGTCCTGCCCTGGACAATATCACTGTTTTTTAGTAGGCCTCACAAATATGGCATCTTTTGTTTATCTTTGTCATGTCTCAGTGAGGGAATGGCAGATTTAAATGTCTGGGTACTTAGAACCAGGATAATAGTCCCCCTAGTAGATCATATGTGGGGGCTAAAAGCCACAAGTTTCCCTCCAAATAAAATGAGCATCCCCCCCCCAAAAAAAAATAGTTTCCCCCCCTCTGCAATAGTCCAGCATTTAATGTCCTCTGGGATTCAGGAGACCTGGGTTCAGACTTTCTAGGTGACGTTGGGCAAGGTGTGTCTCCAGGGGATACAAGCCCTGCAGCATGGCCGCAGCTGGCCCAGGTCAGCCGGCTCTGGCTAAGGGGCTAAACATTTTGTGTCGACGGTCGGGCTGGGGCTGTAGGACCCTGCTTGGGTTGAGGGTCCCAGAGCCCGGCTCCGGCCCCAGCCCAAACTCTATGCAGCAAGTTTTCAGCCCTGAAGCCTGAACCTCACAAGCCCGAGTCAGCTGACCCAGGCCAACTGTGGCGGTGCTGGGCCTCAGTTCCCATCTGTAAACTGGGGATGGTTGAACTTCCTTCCCTCCCAAGGGTGTTGTGAGGGTACAGCAGGGGCCCACAGGCCTGAATCTCGTCTGCTGTCCCCCTCGCTGGTCACTGACACCTGTGCAAAGCAAGGGCCAAATGTACCCTCTGGGGTAAGGGAGTGGGAAGCATCTGCTCTACACCAGTGGAAATGATAACGCGAGGGAGAAGGACGGGGGTGTCACATCCTACATCCTACTGCAGTTACTGCAGGTTTGGACCCTCGCTGCACCATAGTCCTGATCCTTTTCCCATTCGCGCTGGTGTCAATCAGAATTAGCACCATGTAAGACAAAAGAGCGACGCTGCTGTAAGACCGATGAAGGGAGAGGAGAATCAGGCCCATTTGCTGGGCTACCAGGAAGGGGTCACACACTCAGCTGCCCTGCCCGTTTAAATTTGGATTCCGGCATGGTTGCTATGGCAAGGTTTCCATGGCAAGCAGAGATGTGTGTGTGTGTGTGTGTGTGTGTGTGTGTGTGTGTGTGTGTGTGTGT